CCCCCCGCCCCCGCCCCAGCCCATCTGCAAGGGAGGCCTAGGGCCACTGTCTACAGCGCATGTCCAGGAAGAGGCCCCAGCGTGGTGACACCACCTCTGCCGCGGTGGTCAGCAGGGCCCAGTACAAAGTTGGCTTTCAATACATATTTCTTAAAGAAAAAATGTATTTAATCCTTCCCCCGATTTGGCGAACAAATTCAGTGCACCACCCCCCCTAGTGCCACTAGGGTTTTATGTGGAGCTTGACAAGCCAACTCCGGAATTCACCTGAAGGGGGAAATGAGTGAGAGCAGCGAGAAGATCTTGAATAGGAAATTGGCCCTCGTGATGGGGGGAGACTTGCTTTACTATAGCCAAGCCACAGGATGAAGCTGTAGTAGTTAAACTAGTGTACAATTGTTGCGGGAACAGACGGTCATTCAACAGGGAAAACTCCAAGCCTGTATGCATTGCATACATAGGGATTTCTTATAGGACAGAGTAGCACCTTCAGGTCGTTATTACTCATTATGAAATAATTAAGTTAAAATAGCCACTTCTACCATGCACACAATGTAACTCCATGTAGATTAAATAACCAAAGATGTAAAAAACTACGTATGTTAGAAGAATACACAGAACGATGTTTTATCATTTTGTGGCTTCCTAAGCATTGCACAAAATTCAGAAGCAACAAAGGATCTGGATAGAGAGATTATAAGATGTCAAAAGCAAGATTAAAATACCAATACAGACTGGAACAAAATTTCAGTATACATGGAAAGAGAAGGGTAACTGTTCACAAAATATGTAAAACATATACAAGGAAGTAAGGAAAAACCAGCATTACAATAAGAAAATGGTCAGAGCACATGGTCAGACAATCTGCAGAAGGAGAAATACACGTAACCCCGGGATGAAAGATGGTGAGCCTCACCGGTAATCGGGGAAATGCAAATCCACACAAAAGTGAGTTATTTTCCCCGCCCTAGATCGGCAATAATGAACATGAAAATGTGAGCGAAGGGCTCACTCATTCATCAGTGATAGGACTGGCAACTCAGAGTCTCTGCACATAGTCTTTTAGAATATCTATCAAAATTGTAAAATTCCTAAAACATTGACCCAGCAATCACTCTTCTAAGAATCCCCTTTACAGAAACACACACATGTGCAGTGATATATGTACAAAGATCTTTATTATGGCACCGTTTGTAATAGCAAACAGCTATAAACTACCTAAATGTCCATCAATAAAGATTGGCTACAAGCCTTATGGTACATTTATAATGTGCAATGCCAAATAACCATTAAAAAGATAGATCTCTATGAATACAGATTTAAAAAGATTTTCAAGAAATAGTATTAGGTACAAATGCTTGTCTCACAACACACATATTTTATGTATTTAATGTGTATCTTTATTTTTTAAATATATCTTTACTGATTTCAGAGAGAGGAAGGGAGAGGGAGATAGAAACATCAATGATGAGAGTCATTGATCGGCTGCCTCCTGCACGCCCCTGACTGGGGATCGAGCCCGCAACCTGGGCATGTGCCCTGACCGGGAATCAAATCACCATCTCCTGGATCCTAGGTTGATGCTCAACCGCTGAGCTACACCAGCCGGGCTAATGTGTACCTTTAAATGCATTGATAAAACTTTAGAAGAATACATAGTAGTTAACAATGATGACCACTAGAACAGGAGGTAAGAATATATGTGGAGTGAGAAATGCAGAATTTCCACATTTTCTCTATGGACTTTGATAATATTTAATCATTCACAACAAAAGTATAATTATTTGTGGGGGGGGGAGGGAGAGAGAGGGAGACACTCCATTCAGTAAACCATTTCTCATGTTTGCTGGGAGCCGCCTGGCGTAAATGGATGGATTTAGACTTTATCAATTACTTACCATATACTCTGCATGTTTGTATAACTCACTTTATCTGTACAGCAACTTTATTGAAGGAAAGTTACTTACATTTAACAAATGCAAGAAGAAAAGGAAATAGATTTGACCAAGGCACCAGGACAGGCCTTCTTCCAAGAACTTCCTCTGTGCTTTGGGCAGGAGCAAGTAAACCTTAGAAAGACAGTTGTGTCTGTGCAATATGCTGGGGGTTAGAGGAGAGTGAGAGCAGAGTGGCAGCTTGCCTCATGCATGGGGTGCTCCTGGGCTTCCATTGGAGTCATCTTAGGTCAAGTTCTCAGCTCTGCCTTTAGCTGGGCTTTAAGTCTCTCACATCAGCTACGCTTCCTGCACCCTGGGGCATTTTCTTCCCAAACTACCTCACAGAGCCTCTCTGGAGCTCGCTACATATGAGTTCCTGAGTCTCTGTGATCAGATTCAATAGATCTTTGCTCCACCTCCTGGAAAAGGCAAACAGGAGACTGCCCACTCCCCACTGCCCCCGACTGGAACAGACTGACTAGGGTCATATCTTGCAAATAGAAACCGGGTTTGGAGAAACAAGAATAGAAAAAAAATGCCTGGTTGTTAAACAGACCTGAATTTGAATGCCAGCTTTGCCACTCATGGTGTGGCTTTCTTTATTTCTTGGCCTCTCATTTTGCTTCTGTGTCAAGCAATAATGACAATATTCCTTTTTTTTTTCATGGTTAGACTATATATATGCAAAATACCTATTGGATATTATACACTCAGTAAAGAGAAAGACCGCCATTGCCACTATTACTACAATTACCTTGTTAAGTACCTTGCAGTCCTGTTTTTTGCAGCCAAAGTATCGGAGGACCTCATAACACCCTAGTAAATTAAGGTAGGGGAGTCCACCCCGCTTTACAGATGAGGAAGCTGGAGCTTGAAGGAGTTACATGACTGGCCGGGATTTAGATAGGTCCAAAGAAACAGAGACCGTATTTGTACAGGTCTCTCCGATTGTGCAGCTCTTGTCCTATTTATTATGTGCACCCTACCCCTCATGTCTAGCAAAGGACCACGAATAGGTGGACACTCGATGCTTCTCAGGGCCTGATTTGTCTGCTTCCTCCCATCTCCCCATGCCTCTCTAAGAGATCCCTTTCCCACCGCAAACCCCGAAATAGCAAATATGATTTCCACATCCCACTCAGCTGCCTCTTTGGTCCACAGAGGAGCCCACCCTGCCTCAGAGGTCGGCCCAGGGCCCTGTGCTGTCAGGATTGGGCAGTTACAGGCCAGCAGGAGGTGCTGGCATTGCTAATTGAACAGCAGCCGCAGGAGCAGCTACGCACGCTGTCCATGGTCCTGGAAGGATCACCTCCGAGCTACAAGGGCAATAAAAACCTTGTTTTTGCAACAGTCTTTAACGTTGGTTGACAGATACATTGGGAATAGATTCTGGTTTGAGAAACTGGTTGATAATTCCCAGCGAATTGCTTTGTCATGCTTTTTAGAGTCTGTGTGTTCATAGAAAACAGTTTTTAAATTTGCTTTGTGCCTGGATGTGCCCCCTGGTTTCCCCCTCGGCTCCTCCAAAATGTCACAAACGACTTTCCTTGAATTTACCAATTTGCAGGATTAATGTGCTTCTCTCAAGACATCTGTGCCCTAGATAGACTCCAGCCAGAAGAGCTGTCTCCACTCCTAAACCCTGACGTGTTTTGCAGGCAAGGGAGGCCTTGGTTTCAGGTCACCTCCGAGGGGGCATCCGGCACGCGGAGCTAACTCTGGCCTCTGCTTTGTCACACAGCTGCGTGGAGGAGTACAAGCTGGCTCCTGATGGGAAATCCTGCCTCATGCTCTCAGATGTCTGCGAGGGCCCCAAGTGCCTCAAACCTGACTCCAAATTCAATGACACCCTCTTTGGAGAGATGCTACATGGCTACAACAACCGGACCCAGCATGTGAACCAAGGCCAAGTCTTCCAAATGACCTTTAGGTATGGGGCAGATGCTGGCACTTCACCGGTTGAGTCACATATGGGGGAGGGGGAGCCATGGGCCCCATCGAATAGGGGTCTCTTCCACTGGCAGGCACCTCCCCAGGCTCACTGATACCCATCCATGAAGTGTTAGAAGTCAGTAAAATCCTCCCCATGAGGCTCCTTTCCTTCTGACCCAGCCCTTATCTATCCCACCCTCTCATTTTTCTAACTCTGTCCACATATTTTCAATTCAATATTAAATCCTCCTGTAAGTACACTTAATGGAGTTTTTTAAAAAATTAATTAATTTTTCAGTCTATTACAAAATAAGTGTCCTGTGTAGGCTAGTCAAGCAGTTCAAATATAAAGACATTTAATGAAGTAGGAAATAAAATTACCATTGCACAGAAATACGCAGAATTAACATTTTCTTGAACATTCTTAAAAGAATGTTCCCTCTTCTCTATCTGCACATTCTTTGTGTGTGCGTGTGTGCGCACACACACACACACACACACTAAATCTCAGTAAAGCTGTTAGAAATTGCTTTTTTTCCCCCTCAGCAATATGTCAAAGACCTGTTTCCCTGTTAACAAATACAGAAGCACATGAGAAATTAAAAGATGAGACTGTTCTCTTATGAGGGCAACCAGAATGGGGACTGGGTTGACGATTTGACCTGCAGTCTAGTTGTGAAGGGCAAACTGGGAAGGTTGGAGGAACCGGGGTGTTCATTCTGGAGAAGGGAGACCTTGGGTGGGATGTAGTCAGGCCTCAGAATCTGAAGAACATAATAAGATGGTAGAGTGAGAAGAATTATTCCATGTATAATAAATTATTATCTTTAAAACAACTATACTTTTAGACAGTTTTGCATGAATATGTGGCAGGATATTATCACCAGCCAGGGTTCTCCCCACCATCTGAGGTTATATCAACAAAAGGCAGAGCTAGTAAGAAACATCATCACAATAATCGTCACCTTCATCCCATCATCTAATTAATAATAGTGGTTAATTGTAGTTGGAGTGGTAATCATGGCTACTATTTATTTAGAATTACTATATATCAAGCTCTATAAATAATAATAATAATAATAATAATAATAAAGTAGCCACTAAGGTTATTTCAGCACATGCTGAGCGCATTCTAAGCACCGTCGATCCATTATTTCATGTAATCCTCGCAGTGGTTCTAGGAAGCAGAGGCTGTTACGCTCCCCTTTCTACATATAAGAAGTGGAAACGTTGACTGTCTTTCCCAAACCCCCTTCCAGGCAGTGAGAGGGCCAGGAGAAGACCATGTTAGCTCCGTTAGTAAAGCCCTTTCAGGTACCATGACCTTCATTTCACAGCTGCGGTAAGGTGACTTTCCCAAGGTCACCGTCTAGCGAGGGAGAGGGGATTCAGATGTAAGCCTTGCAGACTCCACAACTCTGCTCTTGTCCTCTGATTCAACAGGCATCATTGTTTCCTGTTGCACAGAACAAGGACAGAAATGTGAGAAATGTGAATTCCTTGAAGTCATTCATCTATGCAGTGATCACATGCGCTTTGAAAGCTCTTTGAGCACCTAGGAACCAACTGGTTATTTGGGATACAACGGAAAACGAAATAAAAATGGCCCCATACCCTGTGGTGCTTAGGTATTGTGTGTGTGTGTGTGTGTGTGTGTGTGTGATTGTGATCTTCTGCACTTACTTAATTCGTGGTAGGTAATGTGAAGTTAAGATATAAGGTTCCAGGAAACCAATTAGCAGTGGGATCCAATTTAGTTGAATTTAGTGTAGAGAGTGGCGGGAGCACATCTATTGGACTGGGAAGCAATAGTAAGGCTTCGGAGTCTACTTTTATTTAACTAATGCCTGGAAGATGAGTGGGAGTTAGCCTGGGAAAAGGTTTCAAGCGGAGATATCTATTTTAAGACAGAAACAAATAAAAATACATGGCTGACCTCAGGAAATGAAGTCTGGTGAGGTTGGAGCCGAGCAAGCGAGGAAAGAACTGTGGGAGGCAAAGGCAGGGCTGTAAGCAGAGGCAGGTCAGGGGAGTCTTGCAGGCCCAGTCTTTATCCTGATAGACCCCTCAGATGGCCAAGGGAGGGGAGCCTGTCATGGTTGCATTGTCGTTTTCAGCCTCACCGTGGCTGCCTGGGAAGCAGACTGTGACAAGGGTGGCAGGGAGACAGTAGAATGGAGGGTCAATTAGGTGTCTATTGTTGAAGCCACATGAGACTGTTTGGTGACTTCAAGCAGGATGACTGGAACAATATTGAAGATTAAAAGGAATTTGGGGAGATAGTCGTGAGGTCCAGGAGCAGCTGCAGGCAAAAGGGTAAGGTTGAAGGAGGAGTCAAGGGTGGTAGAGTGACTGGCAGCCACACAGCAATTTAGTGGCAGAGCCAAGGCCTCCAAATGCCAGCAAATTGCTTTCTGCTACTCAGACGCTCGAGCAGAGGCAGAGTGCTATATTATTGGAAAGACTCTGGGAGAAATTTAAGGACAATCTAGATGAACTACTCAGAACTGAGATTCTACTGGTTTTCTATCATTTTAATAAAATCTATGAAACTCTGCCTTGAGCATCAGGGTGGATAGGATAATGCTACATGAACCCAAAAGGAAAAAACAAAGAAATCGTCCCTTGTCTTTGAGAAAGGAACTTAAAAGCTTGCAGGTAACCCATGCTATTGAAAGAAATATATGGAAATTTAATTTTCACAGTGGTGTTCAAGGAATGCCAGTAGTTTCCAAAGAGTTCCCATGGGAAGCCTTTGGAGAGGAATTACAAGGAATGGTTTGTGGTGCCATATAACTTTTTGGATTCTTTGTTCTAGGTCTTTGAAAAATGCCATTGGTATTTTGATAGGAACTATGTTGAATCAATAGCTTGCTTTGGGTGGTATGGGCATTTTAATGATGTTAATTTTCTTATCCATGATCATGGTATGTGCCTCCATTTATTTGTATCTATTTCAAGTTCTTCCTTGAGTGTCTTATAATTATTCGAGTCCAGATCTTTTACTTCCTTGGTTAAATTTACTTCTAAGTATTTTATTTTTTAATGCTCTTGTAAATGGGGTTGTTTTTTGGTGTGTGTGTTTTTTTTTTAGTTTCCCTTTCTGATAGTTCATTATTGGTGTATAAAAATGCAACCAGTTTCTTGATAAAGGGCCTCTCAGAGGGTGAGGCTTGTGAACTGGAGTTTGAAGAGGGAAAAGAGCCATAAGGGCATTTACCTGTCCAGGAAGGAGCCCACAGAAGTCCAGACACAAAGCAGGAGGGGGTGTCAGGAAACCAGATCTCCAGACAGACCTGGTTCCAAATCCTGGCCCCATGCGTGACAAGCATAGTCCTCCCGCCTTCTCCTTAAAAAGGGAGTTTTATCTGATGCCAGCCACTGTGATGGGCACATCGTATGTTTTATGTGGATTGATTTTTCACAGCAACCATCAGAGTGGCTGCATGCGATAGACAATCAAATGCACTAGCTCTCATTCCTTTGTGTGAAGATTAGCGTGGTCCAAAAGGAGCTTCCACATTGGGTAGTAAAATGCTAGATCTTGAAGGGGCTTCATGGAATCCCAGGATCTCACTTTATGTATGGAGAAGGGACTTGGCTAAGGTCACAAAGCAGGTCACTGCTGAGCCAGCCCATGATCCCCTGGTGGCCCAGAGAGCTTGTCTTCCAACTACCCACAGACTGCTCAGTAAAGAGAGCATGGCTCCCTACAGGCGCTTGGGAGTCTCCAGGCTCAGACAGAATATTATCCCCGTCGGGAGCTTTTATTCAGCCTCAAACACTGTTCATTGTTCCAACCGTTCAACTTCAGGTTCCCTCTGAATAGCCAGGGTCTATGTCTGCCCTGATTTGCTCACGGAGGGACGTATAGTGAGCAGACCACACTTTCTCTTTTGACAACAGCCTCAAGATTTTGAGAACTTCCCAGACTGTTATTATATTAGAGCAGCCCTCTACACGTAAGCTCTCTCATCCTTGGCTTCCGTTAAACTTTCTTTGCAATTATTTCCATCTCTAGACCATGTCACCTGTTGGAGCCACATGCTAAGGCAGTTGACTTCCTACTGAGCAGCTTCTGATGAGTCTAAGTTTATCTCTTTTAAGTCTCCCTCCCTGGGCCCCAGACAGGACTTGAGAGGTTGGGGGGCTGCAGCTCCTTTGTCCCCCAAGTTCCATGAGGCAGGCCTGCAAATTTTTCAGCATCAAAGGCAGTTGTCATTTCTCACTGCCTTTTCCTCCTGTCCCTCCCTCCTCCAAGCAATCTCTAGTCCAGCCCCCCAGAGTAGCCAGCGGGCACCCCTGCCCACTGTCCTGCCATATGCCTCCTTTCCTGGCCACTGCCTGGCCTGGGGTTTCAAACTACCCGTGAAAGGGTCTCCCGTGACAGCCGCAGCTCTGCCTTATCTTCTCCCTGCTCTGCCCAGGCCCCCACACCTCGCCACTGCTGAGAGGAGACAGGTCTGCATTCTTGTGCACTCTCCTGAATCTCCAAAAGAGCAACCTGGATTTCTGCTTTACAGAAAGTCTCAGGTTTCAAGTTTCCAAACTGGACAGACACTGAAAGATTAACGAGTTCAGAACTAACCCCTTGTGGTGCAGATGGAGAAACCAAGGCCCAGGAAAGACTATAGCTTGCCCAGTGCTCACCAGGACGTGGGGCCCCTCAGAGACCAAGGTTAGAGTCTGTGACTCCTGGACCAGTTTTCTGGTTTCTGCTTCTGATGCAAGGGATGCATATAACTTCTAAATATCCCTATTAGCATGTGGTGGGAAAAGCCACCTGGTCCATCCCTGCTCTCAGCAGAGAGGGAGGACCTGCTCGCCACAGGGACATGTCACATTCATGACTAAGGAGGGGCCTGAGACAAAGGCCACCCCATGTGCATGATTCTGGCCACCTCCTCGGGATGCCACATGTAGGCTGCAGCCTGGCTCTGGCGGATGAGTGTGTAGAGGTGGTTAGGACCCTAACAAGTCCAGGAGTTGTCAGCCAGC